ATATATATATATATATATATATATATATATATATATATATATATATATATATATATACCTGCAGCTTCCACTGTTTCATGGAAGCCTTAAGCATGAAACGGAAGACATTGGTGTCCATAGGATCCTTTAGTTCTACAATAACTCCTCCATGTTCATCATTAACCGAAGGAAGCATCAACAGCTCATGAATCTTCTTATTTTGAGCCAAAATTTTCTCCATAACATATAATTATCTGAATTCGGTTCGACTAATTAATTAAGCGACTGTTATATTAAAAATAATCTCTGTAGGAAATATTGGGTCCACCCATAAGGGGTGCTCTAAGGCTCAATAGGGTTATTAGTTAACCCTAATATTCCCTATATAAGTACACTTAGTGTGTACATTAAAGAGAGACTCTGTAATATTTTTCTACGCTCTTCTCTCTCAATTTCGGTTAGATTTAGACTGTGGAATTGGGGGTTGCTCCAACACACCGTGACAATCACCGCCGACCAGTAATTCCAGCCACGGTTCATCCGTTTTCGCTTCCGCTTCACGAAGAACAAGTAAGTTCTCGTTTTACGATTTACGCGCTATCTAATGTGTTTAGATTAACGTGTTCCTTCATTGGTATCAGAGCCATAGGCATGGCATTCTGGTTCGGAGGAATAAAAGATTGTTCTGTCCTTTGTGTAAAACAAATATGCGTATCTGTTTTTATCATGTGCAATTGGGTTTGATAATAAAATTCTAAGCTGATTTAATATTAAGATTAATGAGGGATCGTTTTAGTTCGTTGAGTTAAATTAGGAGAATATCATGTGATTTGATTTCCTTCCGTTTTTAACCAGTTTAACCTTCCAGATTTTGCGCAGATACGTTACTGTATTTAACGTTAATGCCGCTTGAATGCAGCTAAATACATGTCAAACTTAGCTGGAATTCCACTTTTTACGCCTATTTTTTTGGTTATAGTAATGAATACAACAGCTTAAATACATGAAATATATTGTATAAAAACATAAAAGGTATCTATAACACGTAATATAGCAAAGGGTATCTATAAATGACTAATTAGACCTAAAAGATGGTGCTTTATGAAAAATTCTCAATATAGAACTAGTGACTGGCCTTATCCTTCCTCCTCCTCCTTTTGAATCGAATGTGATTAACTCAAACTTTAATCCATCTCAAGTGAGAATTTGCTGTATATATCATCGATGTTGGTTTTATCTATATTTTGTGGCTGCATATTCATCCCTTTGATTTTTTATGCTGTCGAGTGCTCTCTTTTTTTTTTTCTCATTTTTTGCTCCAAATCTGGTATTGATTTCTGATTCGTCATGCTTGAACTAGATAAGATCAGCTGTTTAATGTACGCAGTTTGACTAATATTAGGTGTTGAATAGAAACGAATTTAATTAGAGATATGATTATGAGCAATTGAACAACACGGATAAATTTTAATAATTCAATAAAATTAAAATTAAAATAAAACAATTTAACAAGATATGCAAAATGAAAATAGCAGTACAGTCTTGCCTGTCAGGTAAACCATGTGAACAATTGAACATGCAAGTTTTTTTCAATCATGCAGAACTTGTGAACTATATAACAAGATAGGTAGAATGAAAATAGTATCAAGTATAGCTAGCTAGTTTGGCAAAACTTGTGAAAAATTGAACAACATACACATGTAAGTTTAGGTAATAGTGAATAATTTGTGTCAAAGTTATGTCCACTCGTCATCGCTTTCGAAATAGGCAAGTTTGGTTATTTTAGGGGGGAAAAAAAATAAGAATTTCAAAAAATTAAAAAGAATGGTGGCCGTTTGACCTTTCACCACGTAAAACCCAGATGATGACGAAATCAAACTAATAAAGTGGTGGTCCTAATTGGCCCATCTATACNCTAGTCCTTTTATTAAGCATTGTTGGGCGCGATCAATGTGTAACTAAAATTTTAAATTTATTACGAATTCAAAATTTATGAAATTGATGTAGTCCACATTCTTTAAGTTGTTACTAATTTATGATTTGCTTTGAAAGTTCAATTTTGTGTTCTAAACTTAACTGGCCATCCGAATTTAAATCCTAATTTAAACTAGTGACTTATGTAATTTTATGGCATATGAATTCAATTATCAAATTAAGCTATCAGTTCCTGAAGGAACACGCGATAATCTAAACGCATTAGATAGCGCGTTAATCATAAAACGAAAACTTACTTGTTCTTCGTGAAGCTGAAGCAAAAACGGATGAACCGTGGCTGGAATTACTAGTCGGCGGTGGTTGTCACGGTATGTTGGAGCAACCCCCAATTCCACAGTCTAAACCCCAGTTTGATTGTGGGAGAAACTAGCGTGGGAAAAATACTGCTCTTCATATTTTTAATGTACACACTAAGTGTACTTAAATAGGAAATATTAGGGTTAACTAATAATCTTATTGGGCCTTAGAGCGCCCCTTATGGGTGGACCCAATATTTCCTACATCTCCCACTCACATATAATGGGAGTGCTCATCTAGCCTGAGAAACATATTCTCAACTCATCTCCTCAATCATTCATACAGGGAAGTAGACCGTGCGACGAGCTAAGTGCTATATATCTGTTAGGAGTATATAGCCTCTCGTCGAGCGCAAACCTGCAAGTAGATCAAAAAGTATGCAGTACCCTAGATCATGTAAATCACATTTGATATAGTCTCAAAATCTCATATATCATTATTTCTTGTATTCACAATCATAACTCATAAGTTATAATTGGTGCACCAGTGAATACAAATAAATGAGATTCCATCAATGATCTTCCTCTTCTCACGATTCCCTTAACATTGGTATGATTGCTTTCTAGTTATGCTCCGCTAGACCGAATCTGTGTTCATGGTCTTTTGGAAACACACTAAGATAGCTAACATCACACTAAGTCTCAACTATCTGATCAGAGTCTCTAAGGGTACAAAATCTTGAGCTATCATAAAGCTCTAGGTCTCACACAACAATAAGTTGAGAATGGACTTATGTTAACCCAATTGGTCGACATTAGCACACATGGTATGAAACATGTGCTACAGCATTTTCTCCCTTTTCCCAAGGAGCGTATGTCTTTATCTCATAAAGAATGTTGTACATATGATATTTAGACACTGTAAGTATCTAAATTTGAGTTCTTTGATCTACATATCATTTTTAACTCACATTTGGCTACAAAGTAGACTAGGTGAACATTTTTCACCTTAATGACCTTATGTCATTGTTTAAACGATATTCTAATTTTAAGCGAATATCTCTCAAATTATTCGTATGATAATTTTGCTTAAAATCATGTCTCATCTCCTCACATCACTAAGATAAGGAAGCTGTTGCCTGTGTGAGAAGTCCAACCTCTTGTCTACCCGACATACTTATCAAAAAAATATAGAATGCACATAATATTCAACGATTAAAATATGTATGTGTGTAAATCAACTTTATTGATAATCAAAGAACATCAGTTTGTGAACTCGGAAAATAAATAACAAAATAAAGTATCTTAGAGTCTACATAAGCCTTGAGACCTGGTGTGTCTCACAAATGCATCTCTAGACAAAGGCTTGGTCAATGGATCTGCTAACATATCATTTATAGACACATACTTCACATTCACTACCTTGCGTCTAACCATGTCTCTCGCATTGTTATACTTGATATCTATATGTTTGGTTTTATAATGAAACTTTGGGTCCTTGGTTGAGGATATTGCAGCCGCACTGTCACAGTAGACTAATACTGGTTCAGTATTTTCAATGATATCCAACAAGTGATCCAAGAACTTTTTCAACCAAACGGTTTCTTGTGCTGCTGATGCGAGAGCCACGTATTCGGCTTCCATCGTAGATAGTGATACACATGATTGTTTCTTACTACTCCATGATATGGCGCCATCACTGAGTAAGAAAACATATCTCGAGGTAGACTTCCTCTCGTCTAGATCTCCTCCATGATCAGCATCACTGTATCCAACTAATCGCGGATCCTTGCTGCCTTGATAACAAAGGGCATAATCAGCAGTTCCCTTCAGATATCTCATGATCCTCTTTACTTCTTGCCAATGTGCTAAACCTGGGTCGGTTTGATATCTACTTACCAAGCCAACTGCTTGACAGATATCAGGTCCAGTGCACACCATAGCATACATTAGACTTCCGACTGTGCTCCTATAAGGAACTCGGCTCATTTTTTCTATCTCTTCAGGAGTCTTAGGACACATCTGACTTCCCAAGGTATGGCCTTTACTGATAGGAGTTTCAACTGGGCTACTATTTTGCATATTAAATCGTTCAAGAACTTTTCTAATGTAATTCTCTTATGAGAGATACAATAGTTTCTTTGGACGGTCTTTTGAAATCTTAGCTCCAAGAATATATGCAGCTTCACCCATATCTTTCATCTCAAATTGGGATGATAACCATGACTTTATCTCGGTTATAAACTCCTTATCATTTCCAGCTATAAGTATGTCATCTACATACAATGTTAAAATCAAAAGCTTGTTTCTTGATCTCTTGGTATAAACGCAATGGTCTTCATCCATCATGGTAAAACCATTGGATACAAGAACATTTTGAAAGCGTATATACCACTGCCTTGAAGATTGGTTGAGGCCATAAATAGACTTCAAAAGTCTACAAACCTTTTGTTTGTGGCCCTCTTCAATGAAACACTCAGGTTGTTCCATATAGTTTCTTCATCTAGTTCTCCATTGAGAAAGGCAGTCTTTACATCCATCTGATGTAATTCAAGATCCAAGCTTACAACAATAGCTAGAACCAGGCGAACTGAGGTAAATCGTACAACAGGCGAGAAAGTCTATCGTAGTCTATTCCTTTCTGCTGTGTATACCATTTCGCCACCAGTCGAGCCTTATATATCTCAACTGTGCCATCAGCCTTGAGCTTAATTTTTAGAATCCATTTGCTCCCAATTGCTTTGCGTCCTTCAGGAAGGTCAACTAGTTCCCAAACTGTGTTGACTCTCATAGACTCCAATTCATCTTCCATTGCTTTTGTCCATTTATCCTTAGAAAGGCCTGAGAGAGCCTCTTTTACATTTTTTGGCTCGTTTTCTTCTTGTAGGAGCATCATAAATAGTTCTCCGCCTTCAACATCAAATCTCGGCGGGGAATCTTTTTACGAGAACCACGTCTTATTTGT